GTGCCTTCCCTGCGTTTCCCTACGAGACAATATTTTTGGCAGAGGAGCCGTATTCAAGCCTTCACATCTTCTTCACTCCGTCAATCCACTTTTAAATTTACCCCTAGAGCTGTTTCTCCTCCATTTTAGAAAAAAAAAAAAAAAAAACTGAAAAGAAAAATGACGGCTTGATGTAGCTGCCTGCCTCGTCTAGCAGAGTGGCTAGTACCCCACTGACCCCACACCTCTGTAATGGATTCAGCACAGCAATATGAAGCTTTAGACTTGGAGGCACTAACCCTGAAAGTCAGCATTTCTGGGTCAGTGGCCATGCGCCCGCAGTCCTCAGAGGACTATCCAATGATGATGCACTGTGTAATGGATGGTAATGACTCACTACTGTAATGCTACACATCCGCATGCATGCACGTACACACAGTCCTCAGATCCTACAATTCTAAAGACAAGACTGCATTTGTTTTCTTTGTGTTTGTGAGCCAGTCCAGCCTGGACTCATGAATCATTCAGCAGTCTACACATTCTTAAACGCAGCACTTTTACAATATTTCCTCTGAACCACGCACATATACATACGCAGAAACATTTATGGTTTAAGTGCAGCCCGATTGTAATACCATATTAAAATGTCCATTGCCAGTACTTTAATGAAAAATATCTAATAATATGTCACAAGTCTCTTCAAAATTGGACCATTTTTATCAGTAACCTTCAGTATCCCATTATGCTGGAAATAATTCAAACATGTATCAGCGAATACTTATGCCTTTCATTTGCCATTTGCCACAAAGAGATTATATATAAGCCTTTGTGTTGATGATTAAAGAACTGTTCTTCAAACTTTATTACCTTTTGGATTCCCCCCTGAGCGCAGCCCGACAGCTACAAATGACTTTGGGCAAACTCACTGTAAATGGAAAAAAGATCTTCTGTGGGAAAGACTTGATTCTTTGGCTTCTTTGAAAAGCCATAATGGTAAATGTTGCCCTGTCCTTGACTGTCACTGCTCGACTCATCTGTCAGGGAAAACTTTAACATCCTTTCAGCTGCCCCTGTCGAGTGGTAGAAGTGACAGACATGTTCATCATCAGAATCACCTCTTTGCAGGCAGAGATCGAGATGAAAATGAGATGTGTCCCATGCCAAGTGTCCCAGAACTCACCGAGGTACCAAATAAGTCTTTAAAACTCCCCTAAAAACATCTATCAGCCTCGTCATCCATTTCTGAAATTTCAAACACTTTTTTCTCCGGAGATTGTGGATGCTGTTTGTGGGTTCGCTGACCTTGGGTGTTCCCGTTTGCAGTTTTTCATTTTGAGATGCCAGTAAAAGACACCTAATAAAAGTTCACAGCTCAAAGTCCAACACTTAGGCCAGTTTCACACAGACCACATGCAAATTATCCAATACAAGTTTCTGTTCTTGCTGCTAATGAGTTTATCAATAATAAAAGACTCCTCAGAGGGAGCTCTGTTGATCCTCATATGGGGTTATATTGGCTCATTTACTGACAAAAAAAGCTTATTTGTGTGTTGTTCAGCTCGGGGATTAAACTCCAGCAATGATCTGCTCATTAAGGGCTTTGATGGTTCCAGGGGGTCTCCTCTTATAACTGTCTAGATTAAATCTTTCTTCTGTCTAAAGGACAGATGTGATCTTTTTTTAATGTGGTTTTGAATGAACTTATGCTCATCTGATTCCACATACCCTCTGGATCCTGGTCTTTTCTGTGTTCCATGAAACAGACCAGAGGCATTATGCGACAAAGCATTTAGCACCTAAATCAAACGATTGTATCAACAGAACGCAGCTACCATTGTGAAGGTTCACGAGACCCTAGTGCTCTCTGGGGTAAAGACGCAAGGGATTCATTGAGCACATAAAACAAATATTACACACAAGGTTAGGGAGGGCTTTGATAAGATTTCACTGATACCAGTGCCATTATTGATTTGGCTTTTCAGTCCGTTTCTTTATTGATTCCCTTACTTATTCCTGATCAATTTTCTGTGTGGGGAAGAAGGTAGGCTTTCACAGGTTTTCAGTATCAATACAACTGTTTCATTATCTCTGTGTCTGAATACAGTGTAGAAACACATAGCCTTTTCCCACCAAAACTAGCACGTGTACTCAGGTTTCCCATTGCTAGAAGACCAGACCTGTGTACATGGCTTGTTTTTTTGGTGTGTCATGTGTGATGTCACAGACAGGCCAGAAAACAGGTTGGTAAACTGTAGGAAGTCAATTCAATCAATCAATTTTATTTATAAAGCCCAATATCACAAATCACAATTTGCCTCACAGGGCTTTACAGCATACAACATCCCTCTGTCCTTATGACCCTTGCAGCGGATAAGGAAAAACTCCCCAAAAAACCCTTTAACGGGGAAAAAAACGGTAGAAACCTCAGGAAGAGCAACTGAGGAGGGATCCCTCTTCCAGGACGGACAGACGTGCAATAGATGTCGTACAGAACAGATCAGCATAATAAATTAACAGTAAACCGTATGACACAATGAGACAGAGAGAGAGAGATGCAGGTAATGACAGTAGCTTACAACAACATTATTGAAAGTAATAATATTATAGTTATAGTTCTGGCTACTGTGGTACAATATGTTGAAAGTATGTATTAATATCTGGCAGTATACATGTGTGACAATAATCATATGTGTATAATAACAGTAGAAGTATGACTAATGACTAATGATGGCAGCAGCAGCAGGAGGCATCTGGCAGGACCACGGCAGCAGCACAACCACACACGTCACGCTGTCCAGGCACCACTGCAATATGAGTTAATCTGAGAGACAGTGGAGCACAAAGGCTCCGGAGAAGAAGCCGAGTTAGTGACATCCAGAATGGCCGAGTTAGCAAGATGCAGTAATAGAATACGAGAGAGAGAGAGAGAAGGAGAGAGGGTGCTCGGGTGTATAATAGGGGGTCCTCCAGCAGACTAGGCCTAAGTCAGCCTAACTAGGGGCTGGTACAGGGCAAGCCTGAGCCAGCCCTAACTATAAGCTTTATCAAAGAGGAAAGTCTTAAGTCTAGTCTTAAATGTAGTAGCATGAAGGCCAGTGAAAACTACAGTGGTTATGTCTTTTTATTTAAAATTCGATGCAAACTAATTTGAAATGATGTTTTAGCATCTTTTGGACAGAGGTGGACGGTATTTTGTGGTGGTGGGTCATCGCAGGTCGCCAGTTAAGGGTCTAAAAGAAGCACGTTCACCCGGTTGATGTGTTTCCATCAATGCCGATCAGAGCCAGAGGTGATAAATACTAGGGGTGAGGGCAAAAAATCGATATGGCATAGTATCGCAATATTTTTGTGTGGCAATATTATAGCATTACTCAGACACAGAGTATCTATTTTGTTATCATAGAAATTATTAATATTACAAATACAAATATACGTTTTGGTAGCCTGCTAGAATAATTTCCTGTGGTGATTTCCACTCCTGATAAATTGCCCTGACTACCGCAGAGTCATTTGACCAGATGTGAATGCCGCTTGCAGCCTTTCCCATTACATTAAAAACCCAGATGTTAGCAGGTGTTGGCAAGTTTTTTTGTGCAGTGGAAAAGGGTGTGAATCAGGTGTGTAAAAGCTCCATTGTGTAACTATTTTCTTAGCCAAAGAAAAAATGTGCTAAGCCTGCCTGAGTAGTGCTAATATTATTATAATGGAGAATATTTGCCCTTGGTAATGGACTTGTTGCTTGGTTGGGAAGCAGAGGCATTCGCGCATAGACTGTCAAATACATGGCATTCCTTGAATCTAAACCCGTGTTGCTTAGAGAGCCTTTGCACACTGACTTTATTTTTAAAATCTGTCATCTGGAAAAAGAAAAAGTCTGAGTCCGATGTATATTATTGTTCTTTTCATTGTGAAAATTTGCAATACGAGACAAAATGAAAGGACAAATTTCCTCCCGTGCTTCTTTCCACTGGAGATACCTATCTGGCTGTCAGCACTCTCTCCCTGTGTCCTGCATTTGGCACTGCGGCTACATAAAGGGGCTGAGCTGTCCTCCCTCTGTCTCTTCACACATTCGCTCTCTCTGTGCAGTCCACATCCTCCTCCTCCTCCTCCTCCTCCTCCTCATCATCATCATCATCCATCTGAATATTACTGACCTGACCTGATGAAAGTAGGCTATCTGAGTTATGAAAGGATACTGTGCGACCCGTTGCCCTCCCACCACATTTTCTTGACTGCCTCTTGGTCAAACCGCTCTCTAAAGGCTTTTGTCAGATGCAAAGAAATAAAGAAAATCTAACCTGTTCTGAAAACTTTAATGACGGAGTTAATGTGTAAATGTGATTGACACGATGTGAGGGTCATATTTATTTCTAGACATACAACAATTTCCAACAAAAAAAACAGACTGTGTGCAAAGGACTTTACTCAAAATTATCATTTTAACAACACTATTAGCAGCAAAGTTGTAGTTTTTCTTCTTAAAATTATACTATGCTTTGGAACAACTTGCTGCCGGTTTCTAGTAGCATAGAAACATTAGTTTGACTCCACTGTTTTGAATGTGCAACAATCAGAAAAACGTGCCAGCATTGATAAAACATATATTGTAATCTTGGAGGCGTATGATTCCAGTTTGGATCCCCTGCTCAATTTAACCTCTTAATTCGATTTCAATCCCAACACAAGGTTTAGTACTCGATCAATGTGTATGATTATGCAGGGTACAAATTTAGCTCCACCCACTAGCAAAATGTTGGAACAGTATGCAAGTGTCTGACAGAACCTAAGCCAAAAAAAAAAAAAAATATGTGTGTGGGTGTGTAAGGAGTCATAATACAGGTTTTAAAAAGTTGGGACAAAAGTGATGATCGACAAAATAATAAAGAGGCGTCTGAATCCTTTGAGCTATAGATCGGTGTTATTGATAGTGCTGGGGAGACGAGGTGGGGACTAAGAAAAGCTTTGTGTGCACAGAACAAAAAGGGTTGCGGTGATTCAAAAGTCATGTCTTCCTGCAGGGGCAGCAGCTAATGGACCTGGAGCACAAGTTAACTATAGCAAAGGAAGAACTGGAGAAGACAGCACTGGATAAGGTAAGTAACAGAAGAAAAAAAAATGAGTGATGATTTTGATTGATTTTCTTGTTTATAACATGTATTTTTTTGTAGGTTTGATAACTTTTAACTACTGGTCTCTCTCTCATCTGAATAATTTAAACCCTGCAATGTCAAACACTGAGTAGAAAAATAGCATCTAAATTATCTAATGAATCGTTGTGTGTAGTGATGTTTAACTGCATAAATCACTTTCAGAGAGTGGAGTTTGAGGATGGAGGTTGAAAGTAAAGATAAAATAACTCCAAAAATAAGGGACAGTTCACCCAGTAATCAAAAGTACATGCTTTTCCTCTTACCTGTAGTGCTCTTTATCTGTATAGATTGGTATGGTGTGAGCTGCAGAGTGTTGGAGGATCGGCCTTAGAGATGTCTGCCTTCTCTTGAATTTAATGGAACTAGATGGCACCTGGCTTGTGGTGCTCAAAGCTCACCAAAAAAAAAAAAAAAAAAAGTCATTGGTATAAACACTGATCAGCCAAAACATTAAAACCACTGACAGGTGAACTTTGATTATTTTGTTCCAATGCATTGTTCTGCTGGGAAAGCTTTGGTTCTGGCATTCATGTGGATACAACCTGACATGTTCCACCCACTCAAACACCGTTGCAGACCAAGTACCCCCCCTCATGGCAACAGTACTCCCCCATGGCAGTGGCCCCCCAGCAGGATAATGCACCATGCCACACTACAAACATTGCTCAGGAATGGCCCAAGGAATGTGACAAAGACCTCAAAGTGTCAACTTGGCCTCCAAATTCCCCAGATCCCAATCTGAATGAGCATCTGTGGCACGTGCCATTCTCCCACTTCACAACTAAATGGATCTGCCACCAACGCACTGGTGCCAGACACCACAGGACACTCCCAGAGATCCTGTGTCCATGCCTCGACAGGTCAGAGCCAAGTCCCATCCATGGAGGCCCCACCTTGGATTAGGGGAACATCTGGGGTACCGGCACATCACAAGAATCCTTGAGCAGATTGGGACCTGGGAAATTTAGAAGCCAGGTCGACACCTTGAGCTTTTCGTCACGCTCCACGGGTCATTTCTAAATAGTATTTGTAGTGTGGCATGGTGCTTTTTTCTGCTGGGGGGCCACTGCCATTGGGGAGTACTGTTGCCATGAGGGGAGGTACTTGGTCTGCAACGGTGATTGAGTGGGTGGAACATGTCAGGTGGTATCCACATGAATGATTTTTGGGTTGCTGTGGAAAAATAAAGACAGGTCCTAACAATGACTTCTCAGACCACACCCATACTGAAAATCTTACTGTATGAAAGTTTATTGTTAACTGTAATATATCTTTATTACGTGTCTTTGTATCAAGTACATGTAGGCCAATCAGCCAATATATAGATATCTGACATTATTTACTCCCTAATATTGGGATTGGCATCAACCCCAAAAATCCAGTATCTGTTGAGGTCTAGAAGAAACTATTTACTTCATACCAACCTTCACACACAAACAATATCACAGCGCAGAAGAAGACGTGCATCTGCTCTACAGCTGAGGCAATTAATCAACATTATCAATTACAGAAATACGTCCATTTGCAAAACGTATGTTGGCAAGTCGCAACCGGTCAAAGCATGTATTTCTCTGGAGAACAAGCTGCAACTCAAATGGCTTATCACAGGAGTACTACAGCTCCTGTGAAGTGAAAGCATCCCGGAGTGCTTCGTCAGCATAGCAGCAAGAAAGCGCCGTACCGTTTACTTGTCCCCACACAAGCGTGATAATGTTGAACACTGCACACCTGTGAGCCGTTGTGAGCAGTTCAGCATGGCCGTCACACACTGCTCATACAGGCAGAGTGGATTATCAATAGGCAGAATTTGTTCCTGTAGATTTCACTTAAACTCCATACATCACCTAAGGTAGTGATTCAGTAGATGATTAATTGACTAAGCGAAAAAACAATTGTTAGATTAACTGAGAAAAAGTAACCAGTCAGTGCAGCCCTAATCTACCCATGGACAAGAGGCTCCTGCTTGTGACAGCATGAGATCTAAACATTAACGTTGTCCTTCCTCAACTGAGATGTTACATTAGCTAGCTCAGTGGTGCTAGGTAAGTTAGCAGTAGATGCATACTTCCTTCTGCACAGTGATACAGCTGGTGGGTGTGGTTCAGTATAAATAAAATAGTTCCTACATGAAACTGCTCACAACAAGGTCTGTGGATTATCTTGATAAACTGGGTTGTGATTTCTGGAAAGAGACACTGCTGTTGAGGTATTTAAATGTATTTTGGGGGGTTCTTTTGAGCACCACAAGCAGAGTGCCATGTAGTTTCATTATACTGGAGAGAAGGCAGACATCTCTACAGCCAACATCTCCAACTCTCTGAGACTCACACCAAAACAATTGAGGCTGATAAATGACAGTACAGGTGAGAGGAGAAAAATGTATGTTTGATTTGAGGGTGAACTGTCCCTTTAAAATTGATGTATTCTAAAAATGTTCAGCTTTAATATGAGTTATAATGTTATTTTTATACGTGGTTATTGACACCATGTCACTGGGGGCGAGTTAGATAAGTTAAAAATGCATGGGCAGAAAAGTGCTGATTAGGAAAACAGGTCATTCTGGTGCTCAGCGTGGGAGAACTGACATCAGCGGCTGTTGTAAAATAATTAAACCTATCATTCTGACCATTATTATTATTGATTAAAAGTAAATGATCTTTTGGGCATTCCTTCTTTTTTATGACTCTGGTGAGTTCCGCTTCATGTCTCGCCTAACGATGCCTCCTAGCCGTACTAAAGTCACTTTAAAGCATGGCCAATGGCTTTAATGCTTAAGTAAATTTCTCATGTGGATGGATGGATGGGAGGAGAGACGGAGGGACTCAGAAATCTGCTTGTGTGTGTAATTTTGTTTGGGGACAGGAGTCTCAGCTGAAGGCGCTGAAGGACACAGTTCACATCTGCTTCTCAGCTGTCCTGCACAACCAGCCCAGCAGCAGTCACAGATTTCCCGCCTCCCCCACCCACTTGTTCAGATACTCATCACTCATCAACAGCTCCAGAGTCACCTTTCAGCAGCCACATGCCAAGGTAATTCAGTATTCTACTCACTTCCATCTGATTGAATGTTTATCCAAAAGAAGCCCTGGGTTTATTTGTAAAAATCCAACCTTTTTGTGTTTAATGAGTCGGTGCAGTGATGTGCTCAGTCTGCCATATATCTGCTGTAGATGAGGTCCCGCCGTCCTTGAACTAACAGTGTGTCTCACTGTAAGACGTCAACACGTGCTGTGCAGAGATGTCACAAAGATAAACAGTCATATCAAACATTTATTCACTGTGTTTGGACTAGTGTTAATTTAGTCGTAAAAGTTTCATAGTAATAGACTTTATAAATAGAAATAGTTAAATAATCACTTCTTGTGGTTGCAAGGTCTTGCATCTCTACTTTTTTAAATTTTAAAACAGCTCAGAAAAAAACACTGAAAGAACATTTGTTTATCAAAAGTTCAAAAAAGCTCTCTTTGTTTTCCATCTTTTGTAATTTCACACATTTTTAAGGAATTAATTAGCTTTAGTTAAAATAAATAAATAAATCAAGGTGGCAACAATTTAATTCTTTGTTTTTCTAATCAGAAACCCATCGGGCAGATGGGAGATGGCAGGTCTATTTGTCATTTTACCATGGCGTGCATTTCTGGTGACAAAATTATGACTTCTGATTATTTAATTTAGAAAATTACATTTTCCTTATCACAAAAAAATACACACCTGACATTACTGCATATGCAAAATATATATTTGGGGGGGGGGGGGGGGGGGGGGGGGGGGGGGGGTGAATATAATTAATTAGTCTAGAAGATTTAGTAAACAAAAACTGCCGTAGTGATTTTTACCCAGGAGTTTGGGTTTTTGCAATTTTATCCCACATTGTTAACTTGTGTTACTCTCAGGACGACACTAACTGGCATTTAAAACACCTGAGTGTCATATTAAATTTCAGACTCTACTGCTACAATTTTAACATGTTATCTTACTAAGTAATAACGTTAGCAGTGAACATTTAGTGCAGCTGTAATCAAAAACCAAAGCAACACATTTTCTGCCGTGGATACATGTCAGTGTAATCATGGTTGATTGGATTGGTGCACCGTGCAAGACGCACCACTAGGGGTGTACCATATCATATCATTCACAATAATACAAGTATAATTTTCATATAATATAAAAAATTCATATCCTAATACTCACAATATTTGGACTTGTTGACATATGGACGTCATACAGTTACCCACGGCAACAACAAGCATGGCTGAAAGGGAATTTATTACCGACTCCACGGTGGTTCCAAAAAGAGGAGCAGCTTCAGTAGTGTGGGATAAACTGTGGCGTCCTGAATGTTTTATGAACAGCCCCGGACTTCTCAGACTCTTTTAGTGACTTACTGCTCAGAGGGAACTCATCCAGCGGCTCCTCTGGCAGCAGCACAGCGTCTCTCCCTCTCCTCTCTTGCCGTGCGCACACGGGAGTCAGTGTGGCCGAGTGATTTAATCATAAACCTTTGGTAATGGTAACCTATGTGACGCTCGCGGCTCAACAAAAAACTCCATATATGTGAATGTGTGATAGTTGTGGTATCATAACAGCCTGTCACAGGTTACAGCGTGATGATTAGAGGAGAAATGGCAGAGCATAAAGGTCCAGGTGGAAAAAACAACTCAATCATTTAGGATTTTACCAAAAGAAGGAAATCACCTGTTGATTTATATATATAGATCCCAGGAGACATTTTTTGTATTTGAAAGCTGTTTAAATGTGTAATTTGTGAAAGATTTTATTTGGGTGAACTATTAATATTGTAACAGAATCTGAATCTCACTCTGAGTTACTGTTGTTGTTCACAAACTAAAGAAATGAGAGATCATTTTTGTTTAGTTTCTACTGAATATTTGAAGTACACTGTAAAACTATATCACTGATTTTGTTGCAATTCTATGTTCTTAAATTAGTCATAATTTCTTTATTTTTTTATAATTTTTCATAATGTCAAGAATACCGTTATCACAAAAATACCCAGAAATATCATGACATTATTTTATGGCCATATTGCCCACCCCTATGCACACCACCCTTGCCTTGTCTGATCAGGGCCTGACTTGGCTCAAAAACATTTTTGTTGTTCTATGCTGGAGTAGAGTTCACAGAAAAAATGTTTATCTAACAAATCTGCCACATTTGAATCCATGCCATAATAGTTCAGGCTGCTCTTATAGCAAATCAGTGATCCTCCACAATACCAAGTAAATGTGGTCTATAATACTCTGAGTCGATTCGGCCAACAGGAGAACATTACTCAGTGATATTAGATTTCTTTAGGTAATAGCATAGAAGGATAAACGATACAGGCGTAGATTATTATCTGAATAACATACAGTTGAACTTATTTTAAAAGAGTAGCCCCCCCCACCCTGTCCACTCTGACTCTGGCCTGTGGTGCTGACTTTCTCTCACAGTACCTGGTCAATGTGATTGTCAGTGACCTCAGTTTAAACACAGCAGCTTCAGTGTCTTAGGATGAAAATGAGATAAGTTTGTTTTGTAAAGTAGAAATGGAAAGCAAGCTGGATTTGGGATTTGCCTCTGTAATGGTGGAGTATAATTTTCCCTGTGACTTTCCAGATAAGATAAAGCAGGCAGACGCTGTTTTCCACTCCTCTCTGTGTAAACACTCTCAAATTGAAATTCATTTCACACTGTAACTCCCAGCTTGGTGACATCATGGAAGGTAGCCCGGTGCCAAAATATTCACCTCACCACACATCAGAGCGCACATAATGCACTGTCTGCGATATGAATTTAAGTGTTAGCAGATTATTACCTCCTTTTCAAGTGGCTATTTGTCAATCTGATGCCCTGAGTATCACTCTCCAGAGACAAGTAGCCCGGGAAATAATTGCTACCAAATCTAACAGTTGGGCAAACACAATTCTAGAGGTTGTTCAGAATAATAACATGTCTAAATCAAGCAGCAGTCTGAGTAATTTATATCACTCTTTATATTCCATGCTGCTGTAGCTTTGGAGGTAGAGCCCAATTACTTCAAGGCATTATGGGAGTTTTGGTATGTTGGAGTTAAAATGCGTTCTCTATGAAATTATTAACTCAATGTGACACAGGCTTTGTTTGGAGCCTTTGAAAGTCAAGGTCACAGTAGACTTAACTAAGGGCTCAGGATTTAATCCCTATTAGGAGTAATAAAAAAAAAGAAAAGGTGACTGGCAAGAGGATTCATTGTAAAAATAGGATTATGCCCTCAATGTAGATATTGCTTCTTGTTTTGCCACTGAAACACTTTAACATTTTAGGACTCATGTTCAAGGCCGTGGTTTAGAAAGTAGTGAGGTCCAGATTTTTTGCTTTTAATGGAACCTTTTTACTGCATTTTTGAATGAGCAAAGTCATACCCAAATAACACTTTAAATCAACTAAAGCTGTAGGAGGTCAGATTTCCTTTGAACACTCCTCATTCAAAGAAAAGCATATCTACCCTCTCCCTGGACATAATGCAATCAGTTGACTTGTATGTTTCGCACTACTGACCAAACTCCTTTCTTGTCACGTTTGTCCGGAGGTAGCATGACATTAGGATGTGAACAGTGGTGGAAGTATTCAGATCCTTTCCTTAGTAAAAGTACTCAAACTGCACTGTGACAATACTCCTCTACAAGTAAAGGGATGTTACTGTCAACTCATTTCATTTCCCATTTCCCTGACGAAAATTTTAATCAAGATTAGACGACTAGTCTAAAAAATGGAAAACTTCTTTCAGGATCTTTTTTGATTAATGACAATGCTGCATTCATGTGTATGTTACATTTTACTGCTGTAGATGTTTCAGGTTGCGCTCATTTGAACTCCTTTAGATACCATTGGGTATTTTAATTTACAGCATTGCATCATATTCTGTGAGATTATCATATGTTTGTTGTTTATTCTGGTGACACACTGGAGGAAGTGGATCAGTATGGATAAATGAAAAATGAAAACAATAAGCAGTTCATTTCAGGTGGTGACACGTTACGTGACATTGTAAATGTAATAATATTACCCGAAATCCTGTTGGTAACAAGTTATATTACTTAGTTACTGCTAAAATGTAATATATTGTGAGGATGCATTTTCCAGCTGACCCAAGAGGGTTTCAGTTCAGTTATCTTACAAAGTAGAAGAATTTTCTCAACACAAAAAGACAACATTCAAAATCAGCTCATCTAGAGTGACATGGTTTTCACTGAAGCTCTCAGATAAATGTAGTGAAGTGAAAATATAAAGTTGCATAAAATGGAGATACTTAAGTAAAGGTGCTGAGGTACTTTCCACCACTGGATATGAGTATTTATGATCATAGAGTCACATGATAAATATTACTGCCTAGGGTCCACATACTGTAAATGTATTTTACGTTATGGAAACAGTCCCCCTTTCCTCCAAAATAAACACAGAAAGATGGATTAACGCTGTGTCTTACTACCCATGAATTGATATTATACATAAAGGTACTTAATAGTGTAGTTGACATAATAATATCAGTGCAAATTATGTGTTAATACTGACTAAAAATTGCAGCAGAAATACATGAACAAACTGTTCAGTTCTCAGCTGCTTTAACCGTAGGGTGAACTTTAATTTTGAAATAAAGTGAATGCTTTATTAGCCAGCTGATGTTAATGGGCTAAGACGCTGTTTAGGGGCTGCAGTGGTCGACTTAATAACTGTCAACTGACTGTGGCATTCATGTGAAATATAATGTTAGTTGCTCTAATGAGGGCAACCTAATGACCACACAATAAACATGATTCTGTTGGCATCACAAACACAACGCGCACAATGTGTGCGGTGTTTTGGTTTAAACAAGTGATCATGTTAACTTCTCAGCCAACTGCGCCGTGGTTACTCGCAGTGACAACGGCTGTTTAAATCAGAAACAGAACGACCTCGTAAAAACCTTCAACAATACTTTCATCAGTTTAATATACTTACTTATCTGCATTTATTATCTACAGCAGCCACTTACTACAAGCAACCATGGA